CTAGTAAATGTGAAAACTATGACTTATGCCACTCTCATTAAATGCAAAATAGTGGACTACAAGAGATGAAAAAAACGTACAAAAAATCTTTCTATGTGACGTTCTCGCGCAATCTCGAAGTCATGATAACTAAAAAGTCATTATTGAACAACCTAAATTGGATTGGTATTATGTACAAGGGGAAAGGAACGATTTGGTCAGGTGATTAGCAAGCAATTTGAAACACACCTGATTTGTCGATAGCGACAAACGTCCTTTGGACCGAATAGAATTCTCACTCTATTCCTTTTCGAAAGGAACAACATCATTAGCATTACGCATAATCATCCTCAGTTATCTTTACGTGCCTTTTTTTTACTCTTTTTCTGAGACTTTGCTTCTGTCCAGACGTCTATATAAAACACAATTACAAACGGTACATTCAATAATTTGGAAAGAAAATTATCTTATATTTTTTTTGTCAATGCAACAAACCTCCTAATTCATCGAACACAGCGGTTTTTTCCTTATTTTCCACCACTTTATTCTCTTCCACATTATTAGCTACCTTCTCCATGTTGACCGGCTTCTTCTGCGGCTCTTCCACGATGGGCTTATTATCTGTCTTTGGAGTGGATGGTACCGAAGCAGGTGTATTCTCGCCCTCAGAAAGTTTCTTGTTCTTTTTCGACTTTCCAGATTTCTTTTCTTCTTTTTCAACTTTCTCGACCTGCAACCGAACATTTCAGTTATATATAGCCAACAAAAAATTTTAATGTTATGCGAAATATGTATAAATGTACCTTGCTCTGTTCTTCTTTTTGCGGTTCCTTAGTTTTATCAATCTCTTCATTGGAAATAGACGTAAGAATCACTTCTTTCTTCTCCTTTTCCTTGAGCTCTTTATTTTCGGTTTCCTTAGCAGTCTTATCTTTGACCTCGGGTTTCTCTTGTTCTTTCTGCTTAGCCTCGTTTATTAGATCAGCCTTCTTAGATGCTTTCTTATTCTTTTTTGAAGGAGATTCCTCCTCCTTTTTTTTATTCTTCTTATCCTTGCGCGAATAAGCTTGCTCCCAATCTCCTATTATCAATTATAATAATAACACTAATAGATAACAGCCCAAAACAATGATATGCAGAAAATAAGTCTTATCTATTAATGGTAATATATGTAAATCAACAAACCATCGTCAAAGTCCACTGGTTTTTCCTGGAACAAGTTCTTCAAATTTTTCTTATTCTTTGCCTGTTCCATTTTATTTTCTTTGCCAACTTTAGCTGAAGATTGCTCCTTTTCTTTCTTAATAGCGACAATCTTGTTATCTTCTTGTTTACGCTCTTTCAACTTACCATCAACATCGTCTCCTTTTGCAGTCTTCTTAGGAGCTTCAGCTTTCGCTGCTAATGTCTTCTTAACAGGACTTGTTTTCTCAGACGTAACTTGTCCATTAGCAGCTTTCTACAATAAAATAAATAAGACCGTTCAAATAATTCTACAACAATTATATACCGCCTAATATTAAAATATAAAGCAGCTTTTTTGAAAAAAAAATATCAAATATTTATAAGCATTTTATAAAATTAAATAAAAATTCTCTATATTTATTCAATGTTATTGCACATTTAAAAATCAAAACAGTCCAATTACAAGTTTGATGCACGAATCACGGTCAAACTTTGAGAAGAGAAAGAAAGCAAAAAGCGAGTGTAGAAAGCGCCGACAAAAAGAGGGGACTTATTGAACGCTAGCAAGAATGCGGGATGAATGTCTTGGAAACGTGACGGGGATGCCGTCCATGTCCATGAGCCACGCTGTCAAAGAAAACAGACACTCTCATCGCGGCGTTACGTCGCGCGGGGGAAGGAGGAAAAGGGAAAGCAGCCATCTCGCGAGCCACCCTCTTGAACCGGAGGGACCAGCTGATTAGCGGGCATGTGTGCGTGTGCATCGACTCGCGTCCACAAACGAGCCACCATATGGCGGGCGATCGCGACGTGTCTACGAGAAAAATGGGCGCGGGGAGGATGCGGCGAGAGTGCGAGAGGGAGAAAGAGAGACAGGAAGGAAAAACGCGCGCGCGCCCGGGTCGCGTTTAGCCGATGTCGGTGGTTTTTCACTAACCTTCTCGCGGAGCTTGCCGCGCTTCTTGGCGAGCTTCCGGTCCACGTCGGAGCCCGCGGAGAGCTGCGCGAACGGCGGCTGTTCGGCCTTCTTGAAGCCGAAGGCGAACACGAGCATGGCGCATATCAGCACGATACCCACGGGAATCGCGTACACGTATTGCGAATGCTGCAACAGCAGGCCTATGTGATCCATGGTGGCGCGCACGAGATGATCCCGTTCGCGAGATGATCCGCGTTAGATCTGGCACTCCGTTCCTTATGTGAATGCCGGGACGATATTGCGAACGACGAGACGACGGTGACAAACAGCACGTCGACGTAGCGGCGAACCAGACGGCTGGCTGGCTGACACGATGCGGCGCGCGTACGAATCGCTCAGCAACGCGGCATGCGGCTACGCGCGCTCTGATGGACGCGCGGCTAACTAATGTCTGCCAGGCGGGCGACCACCGGGCGCTGACGCGGCTGTGACGCGTACCGCGGCTACCTTCAGGCCGCTGCGGGCCGCCGCCTCGCGCCGACAACTTCACGCCGCCACACGAAGACGCGGGACTTTTCGAACGTGATATGAACTTGGCATTGAGAACTAAACACTGAAAGCCAAATGTTTAAACCTCGAGTGCGAAATTTTAATATAATTAAATGATTAAAAGAAACTCATAATAAAAAAAATATATATATATGATCTTCATTATTGTGTATTGAGTAAATGTCAAGCGATAAACTTGGCACAATCGAGTCGATTTTATAAAGTTCTAACTTTATAGTTTCCATTTTATTTTATCGATATTAAATTTATTCGATCGGATTTATTCGATATTAAACTGAAAGAGAACTGAAGAATCTAAAAATTTTTCTATCGTGCGCTTCGCAATGTAGTTGCGTAACTTGATGATGAATAACGCCGTAAGTGTCGTCAGGTGGAATGTCACGTTGAGGTTATGTTTACAACACGAAGGAATACAAAACGCCGGAATTGTCATTTGAGCTTTACATCACTACGCATGGTCGAACGTGATTGATTATCTGCGGTCATGTGAAAACTTAACGTGACCTCGTTTATCCTTTTGTGTTGCGGAATCGACTCGGTCGCGATATCATTTCATGATCTCGTGTGTCGTGTGTCTCCAATTCGGTTTTCTGTCGTCGATCAATTATTAATTTTTTTTTTTTTTCACAATGTTGGAAGGAGTGAAGCACGTGTTGTTAGTACTTTCAGGAAAAGGCGGCGTCGGCAAATCGACAATCAGTACTCAGCTGGCACTCGCCTTGAAGGAATCCGGCTTTCGAGTGAGTACTCGATTCTCTCGAGTTCTAAAAATTTAAGATGCTTCGTTCAATAATTATGTTCTTAAATAATATTTCGTTGAAATAATTTTAAAACTTTTTCTATATTATTATTAATGCCATGAAGAATAATCATTATAACAAATCACCTTTTCAATTTCCATTTTGAAGCAAAGTATTTTTGCGATACAGCTTAACCTCCATGAAAATTAATCGAATAATTAAAACTGAATACAATTGTAAATTACGACAGGTTGGAATCTTGGATGTCGATCTCTGTGGGCCTAGCGTGCCTTATTTACTAAACTTAGAAGGGGAAGATGTTCATCAATCCTCCGAAGGGTGCGTTTTATTATTTGAGTGATAATTTCTTAACAAAAATTATACGCCATGAATCAATGAATCATGCAAATTGGACAGATGGATACCAGTATTTGCCGATTCAGAGAAGAAACTGTCTGTCATGTCGATTGGTTTCCTCCTGAAAAGTCACAATGATAGCGTGGTTTGGCGCGGACCCAAGAAGAATGGTATGATTAAACAGTTTCTGACAGATGTGGTTTGGCAGGACATCGATTACTTAATTATCGACACTCCACCTGGCACTTCTGATGAACACATTACAGTTATGGAGAATCTAAAGTTGGTGGATAACATTACAGAAAACTTTTGTTATCTAACTGTAGATAAGGAAAAATAATTTATAATGAAATTTGTTTGAAATTATTACAGAAATGTCAAATGTGACGGTGCAATTATAGTAACCACACCACAAGCAGTTGCAGTAGACGATGTTCTGCGAGAAGTGACATTTTGTAGAAAAACTGGAATTCATATAATCGGCATCATCGAAAACATGAGTGGTTTTGTTTGTCCTTCATGTACAGTAAATATTTTTTCATATTCACAATTGTAATTCTGTGTGTTGTCTATAGTTTTAATAAATTTTATTCTTTACAGGAATGTACTAATATATTCTCCTCAGGTGGTGGGATAGCTCTTTCAGAAATGGTAAAAGTTCCATTCTTAGCTAAGGTACCTATAGATCCACAAGTTGGCAAGTTAGCAGATAAAGGACAAAGTATCTTGGTAACGTTACCCGACAGTCAAGTTGCACAGGTGTTTAGGAAATTAGTGGAAGAACTTACCAAGAGTAAAGAGGCTTAAAAACAATATTCTGAATTTGAACCATATATGGTTTCCACTATTGCGATACCGCATGTGATGCTATTATCTCATCTTTATCTCAGATAAATTTATATATAGAAGATTGTATATACAAATATCTCTGTAAGATAATTGTTTTATACCACAGCATATGGAATTGGAAAAAATAAAAAATATTTTATCATATGGTACTTGCATATTTCATAAAAAAGAAATGGATTATCAAAGGGCAAAAAATAGATCCTGACATACAAGTGTTCCATTTTATTTCTTTCCTTCAATAATATTGGCATGATGCAAATTCAACTTGCACTAGAATAAAATATTTTTGAGACCAATATGATTGCACCATATTGCAGAGACACAGGAATATACAGTGCCATGACAATACTGTCTGTACAATGTATCTAAAGTTCTTTTGCATATCAAATGTTTAAAGCTATGTATAAAATATTCATTTGTTACCCCAACCCCAAAGACCTTTGACAAAACCGGTGAGTCCAGCCTGTCCTTTCTTGGCCTGATCGCCCATTTTGTGCGATAGATCAGGGAACTCGACCATGTTGAAGGCCAAATCAAAGAAAAGAGGTTTGCAGGGAATACTGCGCATCGGTGGTGGCAGTTTGTAGACGTTCGGTTGCTTCGTCAGAAGCGCTGGATCCTCCCTGTATTCGTGCAAACGTTCGTATAACGGTTTCTTGCTCTTGGCAAGCTTACTGGTTCCACTCTCCTCCTCCTGACCATCTTCTAGAACGCTGTAGGCATGAGCGGCATACTGTGCAGCCTCCACGGAAGTTTCCAAATTGCATAAAGCTTCCTTCAGAGGAACTGGAAGAATCTTGTCATATTTAAATGCATCTTTAACATGTTGCAGCGACCTCTGATATAAAGCCATAGCTTCGCGCCAACGATGCAAATTGGCGAGACTCTGTGCCATATAAAAACATCTGAAGGCCCTGTAACACTTCGTTTTTGCTTCTTGTTCCTCCAAGAATTCTGCATCGTCTTGCAACTGAGATATCTCCACAAGATTATGTAACGCCGCCTCGTACAGACGCACTATATCTTGCGGCTTAGCTTTCTCCGATTCCTCGGCCGCCTTTACCAATGCCAGATTGCGTTCCAGCGTGCGAGACAATCGAATATATTGCAAATAATTGATCAAATGCTGTGGTGCCGACCACTTGTCCTCCTTATTCTTCAACTCGTTCTTGAAGTGATCACGCACCGCCAACAGAGCGTCCTTGCAATCTATCAAATGTGCCTCCAATAGATCGATCTTTGCTTGATTAGTGGCAGCCTTCTCCAGAGCTTGATTCAATCTGGAATCCGCGATGATTAGACCAGCCGCTCGCGGCGGCACCGTGCCGCAAGATTTTCCACACCATGTTACTTCCTCGATGTTAGCTTGTTTTTCTCGCGTCTGAGCGATTAAAGAATCCAAACTTGCCATCAACTCGCCACTCAATTGCCCGCGCATCTGCATTAGATCGTCCATAGCGCTAATGTCTCCAATGTTATAAGCGCAATATCTGAGACTAGGAGCTAACTCCTCAACACGCGCCT